ACTTCAAAGATACAAATGTGTATCATAGGGAAATGACAACTTGACAATTTATTCATGCCATGGAATACTACCGTTCAAATTCAAGGAATTATTACAGTTACATGATGAATTCCCGATGCACTGGTTTAACGACTAACATAAAACCGAACTGTAACGAGATAAGTAAGTTCAGAATGGGGGTGCCCTCTGGGAGAGAGGAGCAGGTGTGAGCAATAAAAAGCACACACTGTTACCTCGCTGTGTGTGTTTCAGGTTCCGATCTTATTTCTTGTACCGTATGTATCTGCATTGTATTTATCATTGTGCACACATCAAATAAAACCATTTTGAGAAATAATAAGGAAATGCAAGACCCGGGCGTTCTGTGTGGGCCAGTCCCCGGAGTGAGAGTGGGCGGTTGTGTTCTGGGAGGGGGAAGGGCTAACTGGTAGAGGTGCCAATGGACCAGCCAATGCTCACGTTGACTTCCTCTTTCTCCCAAGATCCCAAGATGCGCCCTGGATGTGTGAGACAACAATCTTGTTTTTTGTTTGTGTTCCTGGGGGTAACCATCAGGCTCCTTTGCTCTTGGCAGACCAGGGATATGTGTGAGGAATAGGAAATGAGCCATCCACTACCCGGGTCTTTAATTAATCCCCCTTCCCCTTGTGTTCACCCCCTGCTGGAGCTCCGAAAGGCAGAACTCCCTCCGTCAACAAGGGAATGCACCCGGCTCCCTCTCTCAAAAATTGCCGTTTTCTCTCCTCTGTTTTCCATCATTAATGCTCTTCTCTCTAACTCTTACTTTGCATAATTTTATTGAAATCTCATTTCCTTTGATATCTTTGCTCCCCTGACTTTATACAACATCCTTAAAAATTCATCTTTTTTCTATTTCAGAATATCACTAAAGGGAGAAGCAATAAGCACAGACATTCAATCTGCTATCTTAAACTGGATTTCTACAATTATTTTCCATTGTAAACATACACACACACAAAAGAAAAAAAATACCGAACTCAAATGAGACACGGTGTTTTGGATCAGTAGCTGTTTTGAGCTATTGTGTTTTTCTCTCTACTGGGCTCGTGGAGCGTACTTGCAGTTTCTGCCTGGGTCTCTTAGAAGACCCGTTCTCACGCTGCTCCCTGAGAACCTCACTGTGATGCTGTAGGAAACACAGCCACAGAGAGTGAGGGCATGAGATGGCCTGGCCAACAACCTCACCTGAGCAACTAGCTGACAGCCAGCATCAGCTACGGCCTCGTGAGTGAGCCAGGTGGACATCTAGCCAGGCCTAGGTGGGAGGTGATGCCAGCCCCCAGTGACTGAGACTGTAAAAAACTGCAAGTGAGACTTAGCACAGAACCATGAGAGCCGATGGTATGTTTCTTTTGTTTTGAACCACCACCATCTGGAAGGGTTAGTTACGTCGCAGCTGATAACCTCAACATCCCCAAGCCTTACAATCAGGTGAAGAAGAAAGGCACAGACAGAGTAGGCTTTAGTAATCAAATATAGTACATACGCAATGACAAAAATGTGCACAAGATGTTATGAAGAAACCGAGAAGAGAAACCTTGAGAGATGGTACAGGGGGAGGACAGGAAAGAATTTCTAGACAAGATGACATTTAAAAATGAAACTTAAAAGGAGAATAAAAATTGTCCTGGCAAATGAAAAGCTAGTAATGACTAAGAAGAATGGTGTTAAGGGAACCACACGCATTAAAACTTCACTGGATTCAAATTAGGGGGAGACGATGGTTCAAAATGAGATGGAAAAGAAAGTCCCGGCCTGAGGCCATCTTGTTCTGGGCCCAGAATAAGCCCTTTTGAGGATTCCACACCCGATCATGTAGGAGACAGAGAGACACTGAGGGCCTTCCATCTATACAGCAACACGGCTAAATTAGTCTTTAAATTGAAGGCTGACGGCAGAAGTGAGAGAAAAACCTAAGGTCAGGCCAGGGGAGAAGACCATTGTAATAATTCAGATGATACAAAAGGAGGTTCTGATCTAGGTGTACATGGAGAAGAAGATGGATTTACAGGTATTACAGAGAAAAAGCTAACAGAATCGTTGATGGATTGAATGCAGGAATAAAGTATAACTTTCCTGCTTCTTGCTTTGCAATGGAGAAAAAAGTGTGCTAACAAATAATATGATTGAGGGGAAATATTGATTTGAAATATTGAGTTTGAGGTGCCTGGAAGAAATTGAGAGAGTGACATCCAGCAAACCTTGGGCATATAAATACCAGGCGTGAAGGAATTAGGGTTGGAAATTCACTCATTCATTCATTCATTAAATCATTATTGATTAAGTGACTGCCAGGTGCCCGTCACTCCTCTGGGTGATTAGATTTCAGAGAACAGCAAACAGACACAGAGCCTTCCTCGTGGAGAACAGATTCTAATAAAGGAGGCAGATAGTAAATAACCAACCTAATTAAAAATAGTAAATAAATAGAGAAGGATTGGGATGCTATTTTAGACAGGGTAGTGCAGAGAGGTATGGGACCTGGATAGGCAAGGCTTAAAAGCGAGCAAAGGAAAAAAGGCCACCTCATGTGACAACAGAAGACAAGAAGGGGAAAGGACAGGGTGGCGGGACTCTGGCAGGTCAGGAACATTACAGAACAATTCCAAGACTACCCTCGCTTACACAACCAAAGGTGGAAACTCACCCAAGGTTTATATAGCCTTCTGCATCATCTTATTTTTTTCTAAAGTAACTAAGTCGACCAGTGTTAAATGATTGTTGAAAGTCAAAATAGGTAACAGTATTTTTCACCATGATGGAACATCCCTGGAATGTTGGCAGAATCAATTACATGTCTGAAAGAAGCATGCCATAGTCTTTTATCAAAAGGAGACTCACACAAAAAAACAGGTCAAATATAATTCAGTATATAATTAATCGCCTTACTTTTCTAATACTAGGCATAAATGTTTAAAAAGCTACTTACTTTGTTCAGGGCGTTGTATATATACACCATTTCATATAGGTCTATTTGTGTGCATGCCTTTCTAAATAGCACTGGCTAAATTTATGCCATACTATATGAATTTCAAAGCAATTTTGTTGGCATCCAAGGCCATCTTTATTGGCATACATAGATATCCTCTATTTTCTTGCGTGTGTATTAGGAAACACTATACTTCTAAATCTATGCTACACATCACTTTTTTTTCATTTTGTTCTAAGTTCCAGTCACCAATTTAAGCTACAGTAACCTGTCTGAAGTGACTCTGAAAACAAAAGTAGATACACCATTTCCTTTCTGTACTAGGACCCTTTGGAAAAGCTGATACAGGACACAAGCCATTAGGAGTTTCAGGGACTTTCTTCCAAGGAGAAATGTTGTATAAACTACTGTATACAGATACAACGTGATGTTACCCACAATATCATCATGTTGATTGTATGGAAGTATAAGAGGGATTTACTGTAAAACAAATGGCTAACTACAAACCATGTCAGAATTATGTTTCAGGAAAAAACTATGCAAATTTATTGTATTTATTTTAAGAGCAATAGAAGAAGTATTGGGGTCTTGGTGAATTTGTGTTGTTTAGTTGTAGCTTTTGTTTTCAGTGGCATGTGCAAAAGAAGTTTTGGTTTATTACTAAACTCAATTGTTCTGTACACATGACTCAGCTTCTCTTATGTCAAGTATGTTGCTAGTATTCTAAGATCATCTGTTTTCATTTGTAACATAATCATCATACATTGCTCACTTCAGCATTTAAGGATTATCATCTATCACATTTCTCTGGCCAAGTTTCATAGAATTTACCCTCTTATTAACTCACACATATAATATGAGGGTAAAACAAATGCAATGTGATGCAAATCCTTGGCAATTATATTATAGCCTTCAAAAGTATTTGAATCTTAATTGAGATTTTATTGTATTAAAAATATGGAATTTTCAGTTGAAGATTGGCAGAGATTTGACACACAGTGTGTGTCTGATATCTCACACAATTCATCACCTTTCTGATGTAGAATCAAGGTTTATAGCTCCAGGTCACACATTTGAATCCTTAGGAAGTATCATTTCTAGAAAAGTCAACATTGGGGAGGTGACAAGGTGGTTGCCAACGCCTCCCCACCTTTTTACCTTACAGAACATTCACCTTTTCCAGCTTCAAAGAAATCAGGAGGCCTGAGAATAAATTATGTAGGGGTTAATCATTTACTCTTTCTCTTCCCTGATGAGGCAGCTGTTCTACCTCTTTCCTTGAGCTCTAGAAAACAGAAGTATTTGGAGACGTGGAACAATCGCTTCCCCACCCCACTGTCTGCCCATCACTGCACTCTTCCTCAGACACCAAGAGGCATCAAATTGACAGGGAAATGATATTTCTGGGTATTACTCTGTGTGAGAGGGAAAGATCTCAGCAGTTGGGAATCACTAATGGAATACCTCATTTATGAGAAAAAAAAGCCTCCTCATTTATTGATGCAGAATATCTTCAGACGATCAAAAGCTCTAGGTACATAAATACACATTAACATTAACCTAGTAGATTGTTTCAATAGGCTATTCAAAAATTACAGTGCATATATGCATATAAACGAGCGATAGACTTTGTGCCTTGGACAGAAAATGCACATTGATAGTCTGCTCTGCAAACTTTGTTTAAAGCAAATAAATATGATATCAAGTCCTCTGGCAATGACAGCCGAAGGTTCCAGGCGCTGTGTGTTCCCTAAATCCTGTCTCTAGCTGACTCTTTCTCTGCAGCTCACGTTGCCAGCAAAGGCTGAACAGGAGCTGGAGAGTCGATCCTTGTTTGGTTAACAAATTCCCCGCAAAATATCCCCCCAAGCCCCCAGGAGCCGTAGTGATGTCATATCCGCTGTCCAGGTCTCCACACCTCTCGCAGCGCTCACTCCCTTTCCCCGTTCCCCGGGTCAAAACTTTTGAGGCTGACCGGCCCCAGCGCCGCGGGAGAGAGGGAGGACCCGGGCGCGCGGGGCGGAGGCGCTTCAGCACCGCGGCCAGCGCCCGCTGCAGCCCACCCCGCGGGAGCGCGCCACTCCGACGCCCGCCTGCTCGGAGATGCCTGCGGAATGATCGCCCCCCAGGGCGGCTGCCGCGGCTGCTGCTCCTGCCGCCGCCTCCTCCGTCTCCTCTCCGCTCCGGCTGGCGGGCAGAAAGTGCAACTGGCGAGGGGAAGGTCTCCGCAGTGACACTGGAGTGGCCACGGAAAAGAGAGTGAAGAGGGGGCCCACAGCCGGATCAGAATGCAGGCGACGTCCAGCCTAGTCAATCTGCTGCTGCTGTCTCTGCTGGCAGGATTGGACCCTTCCAAGGTACGGGCAAGGCTTTAACTCTGGTTTGAGATAAAGGTGCAGTAGCAGACAGACCGACCCCAAAAATGCAAATAAATACACCTCCCAAACGGCACGAAAGACGCCTGGCGTATTCGCACTGCTCGGCGATAACAAGGTGAACTACCTACCGGAGGAATAGCTCCTCAAGGTAGAGTCCTGGAGAGGGGGCGGGCGCCGGGAGCGAATGCGAGGTGCCCGGGCAGCGGGCAATGCGGCTCTCCGGGGAACGGGGCTCTTTCTGGCTCCAAGCGCTCCGTGTGCTCTTGGGAAGTCGCTCGGGTAATGCAAAGGAGTTCGCGGCGGAAACAATGCAATTTGTAAACATGGGTTAGGAGATGGTGAACCGTTTCTTTGTTGGAAGCCGAGGAGCGTTTTTGGTTTGTTTTGTTTTTTCCTTTTTTTTTTTCCCCTACCCCACCCCCACGAGCCCGCGGATCCTGGTCAGCAATACTCCCATGGCAGACGTGCTGCGGGCAGTGTCCGAGACCGTGGGGATGTTGCTGGGAACGCACAGGGCAGGGACGCAGAGGCGTCCTCTCCGCCACGGCCGGAGGCGGCTGGAAGGGGCTTGTGTTTCTCCGGCTTCTTTCTTTTCGTTTGGGAAATCAGGGGGCGCCGAGGAAGTTCTCATTAGCAGTGATGAGAAACGGGAAGTGAGAACCCCCTCGCACCCGGAGGGCCCCGGGGAAGGCGAAGGTGTCTCTCTCGGCGCGGCTGAAACTCTGAAAAGCATCCAGCAGCCCTGGGAATTCGGGTGCATGCTAAGCTCTTTTTTTTTTTTTTTGGTCAAAAGGCAGGGGAATCAGGAGAAATGTTTTCAGCGGTGTGGTGAGAAAAGTCTTGATGGTAGCGTGAGATCATTTGAGAGCTTCAGCCTTGTAGGAAAATCTTAATTATCCAGAATAAGAGATAAGGCGTCTGGTAAAAAGAGTATGAGTTACAATTTTTTAAATGATGTTACTTGTTTCACTGGTCCACAGCCATCTGACACAGCAGGACAGAATGATGCCGTGTTACAAAACCGTTCAAAGCTGTGTTTTGGGATATTGTGAAGATCTTCTTAAAGCTTTGCATCATCTCTGTGGTGGAGAGAAATTAAGTTTCTTTTCCTAATTGGCTAGAACTAATTAAGGGGTAACCAAGCATAGTGTAATAGGGTAGCTGACTGGATATTTCTAGGCCTCATACAGTACACAGTGAAAACTTAGAATCGCATCACACATACTTGTAATGATTCCTGTGCACTTTTCGTGTTTAGAGAGACCTGATGGGAATAGAATCATTTTAGTTTAAAGCTGTGTGTGTGCTGACTGAAATCTTCAGTGTGAACGCCCTCTTAGTGATCTTAATGTGATGTTTTACATTATAAGAGACAGCTTGAAAGCATTTACATCCAGGTAAAAAGTGTTGTTTTTTTTTAAATCTTATTTTTCTTATTGCCTCTCGATCTATAGTATGCATTCTGCGGCCGCTATTATTATATTATGCTGGTTAAAACTTTTAAACAAATTCCATGATATACTTCACTTGGAATATTCCAAATATGGAATATTGGAATATTGGTAAAACATTTTTAAAAAAACGAACCTGATCCCTGAGCTACTGCAGAAAAAAAAAAATCTCTCGACTTAAAATGAGTTTGTCATTCTTTGAAATGAATTCAGAAAATGTAGAACTTTACAAACCACTGCATTGTGACTTACTGATACCTTTAATGCATAGAGATATTTCCCAAATTAAAGAGAAGATATTTCTCAAATTAAAGAGAAGTAAACAAAGAGGGGTTTCTGTTAAATATTGAGAGAGGTCCTCCAAATGAATGACCCATTTTTAACAATATGATCTTTTCTGGTATTGATAACCTTTACTTCTGGGTATTCAGCAACCTAAAACTTCCCTGAGACTTCGCTGTGGCTGTTTGGTGTGGCAGAGATGAGACACTGGGGAGGCAAGGTGCACAGGTGAACTTCCCAAGCTGCCCCTTCTCCCCTGTGGACACTGTCACACAACGTGCAGAGAAGATGGCCATTCATCCCACACCACGCGTGACACTATAGAGAACGTTAAAATATTCACACCGAGCGATTTCAAGGCTGTAAAAAGTTTCCGGACCTGGAGACAAAATATTGCTCTAAGAGTAGATAAAAGTTACTTTTGTATGTTTAGCAAACTATTGCTGATCACCAAAGTCTATCACCCCACCCTAATCGCAAATGGCACCATTCAATTCTCAGATTAATCACCCACTAGGTGGTAAACTAGGAATTTTCTCAAATGTTATTGTTGTACGAACTACTCAGAGATTTACTTAGTAAAATTGGCATTCATACTGTAAATTCTGGTTAGTGAAACTGAAATTAAAAATCCAATAACAGATCACCACACAAGACCACAGTTTGGGACAAACAAGAAGTAATTAAGTGATGACCCTTGAAGGTACAGTGACTTTAAACAGCTGATTGCGAACACTAACACACTAGGACTGATATATTTCATAATAACCTGTTAACATCAATGTATTTAAGTAGTCCTCTATGTTATTACACTGTGTGTTTACAGTGAGCGTATTTCTAATCACACATAGGAATCCCGGCAAAACAGGAGGGCTCTTAAAATTGAATCTTTTTTTTTCAGGTATGGGATTGCCACATACACCAAGTATTGTAAACTAAATCTGAGAGAGTGCCTATTGTATCATCATTTACCTGAAAACAAACAGGCCTTCTAACAACAGCACCAACTCCATTTCACAGAACATTGTGTGATGTTTATGTTGATGGTAATTGTCCCTGAGATCGAAACTTACAGAGCTCATATGACATTTGATAAAGTACTTAAGTATCGCCACCTTATGGTAAGATAAGTTACTTGAAACTCAGTTTTATCTTTAAATTGTAAAAAAAAAAAAAAAACCAAACTTCTATATTAATAAGAACTTTTTTGCAGCGCATACTTATTTCTTGCTTTTCTCTCATTTAATACATCAGAAAATTAGCCAGATCAGTATTCTCTTTTGGCAAAGGAAAGCAATTTACCGCTAACTAATTATTTGTATTTTTATAGAGACAGATGATCAATTTTCCTCTCAGAAAAATTATGAGAACTATGTTTCCTTAATTAAAATCTTATTAACAAGTTTCCAGTTCCATTTAAAACTCATGGGTATCACTTCACCTATTTTAAGAGATATTAATTAATTTCATCTGAAATGGAGTATCTCAAGTAGAGGCAATATGCCAAATCATCACTCATTCAGTAAGTTTTTTTTTAAAAAAAAACCTGAAAGCTTGTAGAAACTCAATCATTGCTCAGTGTTAGAGAGCAAGGACATTCTCTGTGTAGGAAGTTCCTGAGGGCGGCTGCTAGAGGGCATCTCTGTGCTTCTAAATGGAAGGAATTGAGTTCAGTAATGACCTTGATAGTACGAAAGGGAACCTTTCCCTTTTACTAGATTTTTGGCAGACCACTATTTGAATGTAATAACAAAATAGCAAGTGCTGCGAATCAGAGCCGTGCATTTCTCTGGTCTGCACTGCTGGGTGAAGAAGGAAGAACGATGCACAGGAGACTGTGCCAGTTCTGAGCAGAACATTTACGCTGGAATCAGACACTTGAGTGACAGTTCAAAGAGGGGGCACGGCCGCCGTGACACAAGACAGTGACTGTGCACTTGAGAGAGGTCATACTTGTGTGATTAAACACATTGCAGAATGCCCTCGCAGGCTCAGGTGGAGAAAGCATTATCTTGTTACCTAGAAATATACTGAAGAATTATCACCACAGGACTGCTCACACCACAGACCTGAGCTGTAACAATGATTCAGCAGTAATCCGCACCAAACTATTCTTTCTATCCAAAGGAACCCAGCCACTTGGAACTCGCCTTAAATGAGACGGTTGCTTTTAAGCCACAGAAACATGACAGCAACTAAATGAATTTCAACAATTATACTGCTAGAGGTTTCTTAGCGTAGGGCACCAAGTATAACTGCCTTTGTGTCTTCGTATTGCGAAGGGAAGTCATCGAAGGCTTACATTGGCTGGAGGTGACTCTCGGACATAAATTGGTTAAAATCCCTACAATTTTAAATGAAAACGACAAAAAGCAAAAACAGGAAGAGAAATAGACGGAGATCGGTATGCTCTGCTTCAACGTAGATCTTAAGTCATCTGTCTTCTCCACTGGATGTCTCTGGATACAGAGACATCCTCTGTGCAGCGAGACCCAGGCAAATGAGAACAGCGAATGGGGGTCAATGGCGCCAGGCCAGGGTCTGCGACTGCGCACCACGAGCCCCGGGAGGCAGGAAGCGAGAAGTCCCAGGCAGGCCCATCGGGTTTCGAAAGAGCAATGACTTTTCTACTCTCCTTGTATCCTGTCCGCCTTGAGCCAATTACATTTTTATTTTGCAGAAAATACTCTTCTCGGTCTTTCTCTTGGCAACTTGAAAAGGTTAAAATTGTACTGCTTTCCTTGATTTAAAAAAAAAAATCACTACGCCCTGGATTTCGCAACTATTCTCTTTAAACTAACAAACAAAATAGACACAGACTCGTAGAGTCAGAGGACAGTCTGACAGCTGTCAGAGAACAGAGGGGCTGGGGGGCTGGGTGAAAAGGTAAAAGGATTAAGGGGGAAAAAACCCTGGCAGACAGGAGCAACAGCATGCTGGTTACCAGAGGCAAAGGGGGCGAGGCTGGTAGAAGAGGGTGAAAGGGACATAAATGGTGATGGAGGGAGACTTGACTTGGGGTGGTGAACACACCATACAACATACAGATGCTGTACTGTAGAATTGCACACCTGAAACCTATATAATTTTATTAACCAATGCCATCCCAATAAACTCAATAAGAAAAAGACTATTGTGACAGTCCGTTGATGGTCTGTTGAGAGGGAAAGCAGGCCAGAGGAACAGAGGGGGCAGGATTCAGGGCCCCTCGTCTCTCACACCCACGTTGCCACTGATCTATGATAT